ATTTACTAGACATTAGTAATGTAAAAGCCGCTTGACGGTATCACAATATTATGCGGTACAGACAAGCTAAGAAGATACAAGGACCAAGATAAAAAGAAATGTTGTTGCATACAAGTACATTATTGTTACCAAAGAGCTCAATTATTGTGTATTTAGCTTACAGTATCTTTTGTTGTAACGACTCTTCAGTTTAATTCCTATTGTGAGGATTTCTTAACATTGTATATTCATCATTGTATGCAATTAGGCTCCTGTTTCAGCCTTTGTTATTGCCTGGTTTTTTTGACTTGATAAAATCCGCCATATTAGGAGCAGTACCTGGCCCGGTGTTACAGTCAGAATAGAAACTCTATGGTCGTTTTTGGTTGCCTTGGTTTTAGATCTCATGAGCGAGGGACAGCTTAAAATTGTACCTAAAGCTGAGTCCTTATGAGTTGGGGTTCCAAGTCCACGACCTGTAGGACTCTGTCGCACCGTAGCTCAGCTCTCCTTCTACCGTGTTCTCGACCTTCTTTCTCCCTGAAATATTCCTTGACCTGACCTATCCAATAGGAGCCCCAGAATCAATATCACTGGAGGTACACAACAGTCAAGGGATTACCCGCAAGTTAGAGGCTTCCATCCTCTGGGAATAACACTGGTGACAAATTATATTTCATGGCGAACTACCATCCAGTACTTTGTTGAGGCTATCTTCAGTCTGGAACCCAAAAAAGTGGCGGACAGTTTTTCGTCCTTAAGAGCCATGCCAAAAAGCTAGAAACACCCCATGGAAAACATTGACCACATAAAAACTTTACCCATAAAATAGTACAAAACTCACAACAAAGTGACGAACCCAAGACTAAAACAAGGAAAACCACATTCAGCGAAATCATGTTGTTCACAGATCATACAAGTCCACTGATATATTCCGCACCAAATGGTCTTTATCATCACGGTGATCACACTGCGTATCTCGTGACACATTTATGATGTCTTTATATATTCTCCACTATGACAAGCACTTTGGTCAACTTTGGTTAGTCTATTCTTTAAAGTGCCTTAACAATAATAGTTGCATTGGTTAAACTGATTGGATTTAGTTCCTGCGTAAATTGTCAAGACTCCCAGGAGAATATGATACTGAGAACTAGAGACTCCTAGAACAGGAATGCATTAAACCTATTGCCTAGCGAGACCAAGTAAAAATGGCAAAAACCTTAGAAACTCTTATATATCACTGTTCTAAAGCGAGAGTAAGTGACTGCCCTTTGCTATATCAATGCATTGTTACAGTTTGAAACCTAAGGTTCAGCGCTCAACAATCCTAGCGGGACCGACTCGCAGTCGCATTAAGTATACAGATCGTAATGGATTGGCTTCTAGTATCGGGACTCGTTTTTAAGATATAGTGAAAAAAGATGTAACATACGGGA